CTGGGCACAGAAGAAATGCTCAATAATACAGAGTTCATTTGCTTTAAAGGAGAAGCATCCTCTCTCACGTCCACGTGAAGGGAAATCTCTCACATCAGTGCAGTTTTAAACTAATAACTCCTCCTAGAGATAAGGAAGATTGAGTCCTATGCATAGAGAAGGCATGACTTCTGCAAGATCACACAGCTGTGATTCTGAGGCTTAAACCTGGTGCATTTAGTTATAAGAATTCCTTTTTTAAATAACCCTATCACTAATCCTGTAAACAGCAACATTTATTGGGTGCTTGCTCTCTCTCAGGCGTTGTGCTGAGTCCTGAATATCATTATCTCATTTAATTCTCCCCTCAACACTGGGGCAGGTGCTATTCTTATGTTTATCTTACAGGGGAGGAAACAGAGCCTCACGAGCTTCAGTGACTTGTCCGGAGTCACACAGATACTAACTTGGAGGCGGGATCGAACCCAGTGGTCGGGCTCCTGAGCTCAGACTGGTGCCTGCTACATTCTCTAGGTCTGGTCCAGCACAGAGAGGCCTAGGTGGGAGGACACGGGCTTAACATCTTCATGGTGCCCAGATCTTACCCTGCGGTCCCTGCCAGTCACCTCAACCTTGGTCTCACGCTCTAGTCTCAGAGCACAGGGAGCAGCAGAGCTGGTATTTCAAGCAGCTGAATATTCACTAGTCATTGCTGATAATGAGCCCCTCACCTTGCAAAGGCTCTCAGTGGTTGCGGAAACCCTTTGGGTGGGAACAGTCCCCTCTAGACAATTGCTATGTTCTTTACCACTTTGTGGAGAAATGACTTAAGATTGTTTGTGACTTGAGTGACCCTCCTCTGGCTAATGACTCTTTAGACAGAAATTGGTCACAGGCTAGGCTTCCTGACCTCCTTATGGGAATCATGAACCCACAACAGTCATTGAGCTGACAGTAATGCCAGCTTAACCCTTGGAGTCTCTTTGCGGCTCAGTGAATTATTTCCAGCAGAATAAAATGCTGACGGGTTCTGATTCCTTTTTCTTTTGCGATATTTCCTTAATGAGCTGATAAACTTTTGCACGAGCTGTCTATAAGTGCCCTGCTATAGGAAATAGAAAGATGTACATTTCCTTTCACAGAAATTAATAATAATAGTAGCTGCCAGTTTTGAGGACTCTGCCAGGAGTAGGTGTGTATACATACATGTGCATTTAGTCCGCCCAACAACCCTGTGAGGTAGCAATTATGATGCCCACTTAACAGAAGAAGTGAGGCTCAGAAAAGGACATTAATTTTCCCAAGGTCACACAGCGTGCAAGTAGTGGAGCCACATGCAAATCAGATCTGTCACACTGCAGAGTCCTCACTCTCATCTAGGGTGCTGTAGTTGCATGGGTCTCAGTTTCACACCCTCAGAGTAGCCTTAGTAAACAGCCAGAACTGAGGCCCTCATGCTGTTCCTCAACTCCCTTAAAACCAAAGGTACGGTTTGGATTGATGAGCCCTGCTTTTGATCTGGCTGAGCTCAGAATCCTCTACAGTATTGACACATAATAACCAATTCTATAGCTAAGAGAAATAAGGTGAATTTTACTTGAGCCAGAGTGAGGATTACAACCCAGGAAGGCCTTAGAAAGTGTTCTGGAGAAGCATGGTTTTCAGTCTAGTCTTACATCTTTTTAGAACAAAGAATGTACATTAAACATGCCAAGGATACATATTCATCAGAGTTTCAAAGAGGTATTCAGTTGCAAATTAGCAATATGACCCTGATGTTGGGAAAGGGACTAACCTGGGCGTTACCAATAGAGCATAGGAGGGGAAGTATGCATTCTTATCTTGAGACAGTGCATTCTTTACTTTAATGGTTAAGCAGATGTACAATGTATGCTTGATAGGCCATAAGTCAGGCTTTTTAGTTCAAACTGAATCAGTTTTGAACCCAAATAGTTACCCCATATACCTCAAAATGTGAAAATTTCTTGTCAATAGCAAGCACCTTAGCTCACAGCGGTTGTGCTCCACTAATGAGATCTTGACAATGAGCGCCAGGCTGGATGAAGCAGAACTCTGTGTCCTCAAATGCTCATTCATCTGTGCCCCAGAGAGAAGTCAACACGATTCTCTAAGAATGTAGACCTAGTGTGTCAGTGATGTGTTCTAGTTAGAGCACTGTCTTTGGAGTTTGATCTTGTTCTGCCATTTAATTATTATTTTGGGTGTGTTACTAAACCTCTCTGCGACTTAGTTTTCTCATCTGTAACACGGCAATAATTATGCCTGTCTGTACTGGAAACCATGTGGGGTGTCTTCTTGAATACAATGGCTCCCTGAATATCCCCCCAAAACACACACACACACACACACACACACACACACACACACACACACACAGGGCCCTCGGCAGTCAAGGTGGTGGAGATAGTAGGAGATCAACAAGTATTTTCCAAAACCTGAATGTAGTGATATCTGATTCAAACCAGGCCTCTCAGATTCTCTCCCTCACATTCTAGATTTGGGATTGAGAAAATCTAGTACTTTCTGGACTTATCCTGAACTTGAGGGCTCAGGGCTGGTCACATTCCCCCTACCACACGGTTTGAGAAACAAAGGGAGATGGTCAGCAGAGAGAGAAAGATGAAATAGATGTGACAGTGAGCAGAGATGACACCCTTGCATCTTCACATTATATTCCCCCTTTTAGCAATCAGAGTCCTAACTGACAAACGACCTCATAGCCTTGTTAAGACTAAATGGAGGATGCCTGTAAAGAGTTCAGCCTGGAATAAAGCAACCGCTCAAGAAACAGCAGTTATGAATTGGTCCGCCCTCAGCTCACATCTGGGGGGGCTTCTATTAAGACAGGGGTCTTGTTGAGATTTTTTGTCACAAAACAAAATTAATTTTCTTTAGACTTTACAGACCCACAAGGCTGAAAAGTCCATTTAACTGGCAGCACAAAATAGCTGCCCGCCAAGTCAAATCCAGGGAAGACAATCATACTCCAACAACCGGGCGCCCTTTGGGGTTACTGATTCTCTCCTGGGCAGATTGGGAGCCCAATAAAGTTTAGATGCATATGGGGCACCCCTTGGTGGGCCTGGGGCAGCCAAATGACATTTGGTTTCCACTTAATGTTTCTTTGTATGAACAGAACATCATCTTTGTCTCTTGTACCAAGGTGGGGGCTGTAGGATGTTTGTTCACCTCCTCCTCCTCCTCCATCAGAGCAAGCCCGCCTTGTTCACAGCACATGCCCAGCATTAGCACAGGGTATGGCACATAGTAGGAGATCAATAAGTATTTTCCAAAAACTGAATGTAGTTTTGTATTCCCTAATGTTAATACTTGCCCACTGTCACACACCCAGGAAGTGGCCACAGGGAGGGATTCAAATGGAGGTTTATCCAGCTCCAAACCGTATCCTTTCTGCTGTTAGTCCATTTATGAAGCTCCTACTCTGGCAAAGAAAAGATCCCACAATGGGTCAGATTCAGACCCATCTTCAACCCCAAGCTCCAACATCCTTCCCTCTCTCCTATCCACTCATCATTTTCTCTGCACCCCCCTCAGTCAAAACTCCCATTTGTTTATCACTCTTTCCACCATGTGTTATTTAAAAAGTATTGAGCACAATAATAATTATTATTATGTTATAATAATTCTTATTATTATATAATTGTTATTACATATTATAATTATCATAGTTACTGGGATAGGCAGGATTGAGTTAAGGAAGTGTGCAAAATTGCTTTAGGAATAACCTATAACTGTACCCCTTAACCTACCTTACGGAATTAGCAACTTATGAGGTCAGTTACTTTCCCTAAGACCTCTAAGTGGTGGCATCTCAGGAACCATGAAAAATGAAGCACAAAAGGGAGAGCCTCTTCCTGTAGCTCCAGAATTAGGAACCAGGGCCCCTGGTGAAACATCGAGTCCCTCACATTCTAAAGAGAAGTCAATCATCTCCCCAGGGCCTTAAGAAGAGGTCGGAAACTGTCCTGCCATTCCCAACCAGCCCAGTCATCCTTATCTCACATGAAGGAGGACATCTTACGGGACACAGGGCTCATGGCCAAAAGTTATACATGCCTCCCACATCACCGTGCCATTGGGGAGGGAAGAGGGCATATTCCTCCAAAACACCAAGGGGAGTGCATGATTCAGAAAATCACTCATCTAGATGAGGAGGGCCCTCAAGAAGGGGGAAATGAAATCTCACTCCCCAGCTGGTTGGTTTCGCAGCTCTGCCTCACCACTACTCCAGTGCTGCATGAAGAGAGACATCCTGGAAAAGTTTAACAAGGATATCGGGAGTTTGGGTTCTCAGAAATGAAGGTGGACAAGAAGAAGTACAGCTCCATCCCCAGAAACTTACATGTGTCCTATAGGCAAAGACCACGGCACCTGCCTAGGTGCCCAGCAGTAGAGAGAATCAGACCAGCCAGAAGGAGACCAAGGACACCTCCCCACCACCAGCAGGTGACCTAGGAGCACCCCTGCTGGCTCTCCAACTGCATCTCCCTGCCCCTGGTACCAGAGGCGCTGGGCACAGAGCAAGGAGGGGGGAAGTGAAAGAGTGGACAACACCTTCGCTAGCCAGCACCCAGTTCCTAGATTCTAATTTCTATAGGGACGTATTCCTCATGCCTAGCAGGTGCCTGGCCCAGAGAAGACATTTGTTACTTGTGTTGAAAAATGAATGAGTGAATGAAAGCACATAAGAGTTAGTGCCCTCCCAACCCCGCCCCCCCCCCCAGTTACTCAAGACTTTCCTGGTTTAGAAGTCATGTGTCTCAGAGGAGGATGTTCCCTTGACTCAGAGACTTGTTTAGGTAACAACACGGCTTTACCCAGGGTACACACGGTGTGCGATGTGCATTCTCCAGAAATGCGAGTTTCTGGGCAGGCTGAGGCTCCCACAGTCCCTCCCACACAGACCTTGCATTACAGCTCAGTGGTGGAAGGGTAAATTGGTAAATTTACCAAAAAAGGTAAATTGCTGCAATTCCCAGCCTTGCTGCATTTTTACCGAAGACCTCCACCAGCAACATGAAGTTGGGAGGCCTCCTCCTCCTTGTGACCTTCATCACCGTCAGCTTAGAGGTAGAGGTGCTTCAGGCTGAAGTGAAACCCTTTCAACGTTTGGGGGAGTCCAGGCAGAAGGCAGCCCCCTTCTTCTTTGAATGAGGGAGCCAGAAAGTAGGACTTCAGGGAGCAGTATGTGCAGGGGCAGGACGGGAAGGAAGGAGGGAAGGAAAGATATTCTAGTCAAGGAGCCATTGCAGAGACCCACCTTGAGCAGAATCTCTCTTCTTCAGCCTCCTCTTTCTCCCTTCCTTTCCCTGGGTCACCTGTCCGTCTGAACTCTCCACCCTTCCCGCTTTGCCCCCTCATCAACCATCCTCCATCTCCCCTGCATCTCCTTCTCCACCAGGTTCTTTGTCTCTTGCTACAGAGAGATTGGATTGTGTAGAGAAAATATTTTCTTAACCATATTAAACATGAATCATGTCAAATATTTTTTCCTTTTACGAACAACATTCTCAGAGGAGTAATCTGAATTCTTGTCCTTACTTCCCCATAACACATTCCTTAACCTCTTGAAGACTGACTATAGTCATTCCTGCCCAAGAACTCTCCTGAAACTTCTTGCCCAGGTTCTGTTGACAAATCTCTTGACTCTCCTCAGGAGCCAGTCTTTATCCTCTGTAGCATTTGACATTGTTTGTCACTTCATCTATCTCCAAAATTTCTTCTGTTCCGGATTCTCTTCACTGTATCTTTTTTTTTTTTTTCTCCCTAAAGATCACTGTATTGAACTCTTATTCCTCTCCTTTCTGTGCTCTCCTTACTCTACACTAAACTGGTTGCCAAATTCTGTCCATATTTTGAAATTGTCTCTTGCAAGTGTTCCCTCATCTCCACCCCCATGGCCACACTGTATTTCCAGCCCTGATTGCCCCATGCTTGGGTCAGTGCAATCGCTTCCCAGCAGCTCTAGGGAGATCTGCCTCTCCCTTCCTTCTGTAGTTTGCTTGCCTATTCTCTGCTCTCCTACCAGAAGAATCTTCATACGTAAATTGCAGCAATATACCACTCTTGGCCTCCCGAGTGAAATCCACACTCCTCAGGGCCTAAAGATCCACCCACTGTAAATTTGTCTCCTGCCTACTTTTCCTGCTCAAGTTCCAACTCTTCCCTAATACTCACCCAGCCTTTCATTGGCCATTATTCCTGGATTCCTTGTATTTCAGGGTAAGAAGTGAGGAGATGAAGCACCTTGGGTACAAGATTAAAGAAGGTGTTCACTCTCAGGGTTGTGTAAGCGCCTCCTTAAATTTTGTGCCCTACATGCCTCATAGGCCTCTCCCTGGTCCTGCCCCGTTACATTCCCCTTGTGAACTTTTGCTGGTAATTCTTTTCTCTCCTCACAACACTCTACCACCCTTATCAATTCTGCCTTAAAAAAATCCTTGTACTTCAAGACTCACCTTTTCTCATTAATCCAGTTAGAAGTAATGTCTTCTCTCCTCTGAGCCCCTTTACTCCTTCGGATGTACCTCTCTTGGGACACTTCTCACAAATGGCTTTGTTTCTAGTACTTTAAATGTCAGTCTTATCTCCACTGTTAGAATCTAATCTGTTTGAAGGTAATGCCCCTCTCTTACATCTTTGTATTTCCTGAATAACTATCCTCTGCACTTTATATATAATAAGAAATCAACAGATATGATGAATGAGCAAACTGCTGTGAGTGGGGACAAGGAGCGATGATACTGATTTTCTCCAAAGTCTGCAAGTACGTTGTAGACATCCCACCAGACCTCCTTCTTACACCCTCAGACATTGTTAATCAATCATAGCACTCCTTCTCTTTGAGCCTGGACAAGGCTTCCCAGCCTTCTCAACACAGCATCCAACAGCCATCTCTATTGATGGGAGTTGACAGTGGAGAATGAACTTCATTTCCACTGCTGGATCCAGGGCTCCATTTTACATATGAGGGAACGAAGGCACACACAGGTCCAGAGACAGAATCAGGTAGAGAAACTCCTGATAACAGCAGAATAGCCAAGCAAGCACAGCACCCATTCGTCCAGAGATCTGCATACATTTTGCTAGAAGCCCCTGTGGCATCTTGACCAGCTTCTTGGACCTACTTCATTGACCTTCAGAGACTGACTTTGAGGCTCTGGGAACCCCAGGAGCCTCCACTCAGGTCAGAGTTGACTCCTTGAAATTTGGAGATGTGCTCTCCATGTCAGGGTCTGTTTCACCATGTGGGACTGCAGGAGCTGGGACCTGGGGCCAGGCACGTTCTGAAAAACAAGACAAGCTGATGCAGAGAGCTCTTGATATAATTGTATCTCTTTAGACTGAAGACTAGTAGTGATAGCACTAATGGAATAAACCCAGATGGCGTGAGTAATACATTATTTCACCAATCAGTGTTATGATGTTACAAGCTGATGGAAAATAGATAGAGTAAAAACAGAGGAAGAAATTCCAAATGCAAGCATAATATAGCAATCTATGTAATATATCTACTAGATCAGGGTATGGGAGAATATTGTGGCAACTCAGCCAAAAGAATGCAAAATTGGTAACAACTGTTGCTTTCTCACTGCCCCATTGTGTTCTACCAATGATGTATCAGAGGAAATACATTATACAGATAACTGTTATTGAAGGTAAATTACTGATGAATAGACCTGTGTTTCATGTAACTATGTGTGCCCATCCACAATGACTCATTGTATAATGCCAGGAAATGCACATTTTAATTACAAATTCTGCAATTAGTATAGAATTATATGCCATATGTTAAAAAAAGGAACAGAGCTAAAACAGATATAAAAGAGTTATACAATGAGAAGATCAGAAAACAGCCCAAATAAGTATCTTGAATTGAACCAAACATGTATCAGTCCAAATATACAGTCCAAATAATCTTGACATTTATCCAAGCATTAAGCTAAAATATTTTCAGAACATTACAGAATATCCACGCAGATAGACTGACAGATAGATAGATATACAGAGAGACTATCTCTAGAAACGATAATAGTGGTTCCCTCTGTAGGGGAAACAGTGTAAGAAGGATTGGAGGTCAGAGATGGGGATAAATATAACTTTTCACTGTAAATCTTTATTTATATTTAAATTCAAGCATTTTCATTTCTTTTCTTAAATCACAAATACAACCTATAAAGGTCCAACTCCACTTACATCAGAAAGGAGATTATTAAGATAAAACGTATACTCTGACCTTCCTTTTTCTTCCTGAAAGTGGGAGATAAGTGCACCATACAAAAGGTGCACCCCCAGTACCCCCGTGGAAGGACGACACTCTTATCTCTAGAGATGGAATATCTGGGAAATCAGTACAAAGAAATCTTGTCAACTAGCCCTTATCTTACTAGTCACTGCTCCACAATTTACTACCTGTAGCCCAAACCCCTTTGTCTGTCAATTCTTCACAGATTCATTGTCACTTTGTCTAAAAGCTGTGAAAGCTTCTGCTCTGCTCTCTTGTTCAGGTCCTCATTCTCCTGTGAAGGCTCCCATTCACATGGCAAAATTTAGTAAAACTTGCATGCTTTTCTCCCGTTAATCTATTTTATGTCAGTTTAATTCTAGGCCCAGTCAGAGACCCTAAGAGGGTAGTAGAGGAGAATTTTTCCTCCCCTACACATCTCATGTACAGCCTCCCATCTCCTCAGCCATGGCCAAGGTTGAAGGGACCTAAGCTTCCTGGACACACATTCCAAAAGTCAGCCTCCCAAGATATGAATATTCCCACCACGAGCTATGCAAAAAGAAACAAATGTCCATAGCTAACAGCTGGCTGAACAAGACTGTAAAGATCAAAAAGTAATAGTGAAAAATGGATTTTTAAATTCATTTTGTATATACTTTATAAAAACAGGCAAAAGGGAAGGAAAACTATCATATCTAGGTATGGTGTCCTCACTCACATATATAGCATAGCAAGAGACTGATTCACAAAAAGGACAGTTGACTGGTGGTCTCTCAGGAGGCGTTGCCAAGTGAAGAACTTCAGACAGGTGAGTGCAGTGGAGGAATCTACGAGTTAGTGGTAGAGAACGCCCAGCTCCTCCTTATCCTGGCCCCTGCAATCTTACAGGTACACATGAGCCCTGGTGGGGCCAGGTAGTAGAGGACAAGGCAGGGCACGTGGTGTGGAGGAGAGAGCATGAGCCGAGGAATCAGAAGAATGGGGTTTATCACCTACCGACCCCTACAACTAAGTTGCTCAATAAGTGTGAACAAGTTAAGCTGTGTCTGATTCCTCATCTGTGAATTGGAGACGCTCAGTATAACGACATTGTTGGGTTGGCACAATGAGGTGATGCCCAGGAAGCTCTGGGCTTGAAGAAGTTCTGGGTATGGAACTAAATGTGAGTTCTGTCTCCTCACTCCACTTTCTCTCATTTGCTCACGTGGCAGCCTTTCATCTTTAGTGGTCTGGTCTGCTGAACGGAGAAGGCTGTTGCTGTTGCACAAAAGTGTTGTTTGGTTAAGTGGCACAAACAGTGTTTGTTAACCGTGGCCAGCTGCCCAAAGACTTCAGCTTCCAGATACACCCTCTGGCCCAGCTCAGTAGGGGTGAGGGACATCACCCTCCCTCAGCCCTGCTTCACTTTCACAGAACCGAGGCTTCCAACAACAGCGGGGATTGGGTGTCCACTCATGGCCCTCTTCTCTAAGGGTGGAACTGGAGACTTCCTGAGGCCTGAGAGAGCACAGGTAACATCTCATTAATCTCAGGAGGATGGAAGGGAGGAAAGAGAACCAGAGGCTCAGTGTTTCATGTGTTTTTTCCTTGAAGCCCCATGGCCCCACCACTGGCTCATGCATGATCTATAGGGACTGGGGACAAATCCAGGTGACAGTCCCCAAGCCAGATGGAGCCCCATCCCCTCTGGCAACCACAACCTTGTTACTGGGCTGAAATCTTCTACTCCAGTCTCTCTTTCCCTCATGGTGAGCCTGTCCCAGGTTGCTCCTCACTCTCTCACCCAGCACCGGGCAGAGCCACCTGACTGCCTGGGCTGACAAGCTCCAGCCGTGCTCTCCTGTGAATTAGGTCACATGAATCGGGTGGGG